GTTTGCTAAGTTAGAACGAAATCTTTTGCCGAAAATGTCATTGTAGGTTATCGACCACTAGGAGTTGAATGGTGAAGGTTTCATAACACAAAAAGCCTTTAGCTGACTCCTGAGAATCGATTCTAGGGTGTCCACATACTTTTGGTACGCACTGTATAATGTTAGCAGCTTCATCAAGTTGGCCCAGAAATGAAGCATTCGAAAGTGAGCTATAAAAAGGGCGGATACTTTCCGAACAGCTCAATATTTTGATATTTTGTACTCGGCTTCTGCGACTTTACCATTTTTTTCAACGTTTCTTTCACTCACTTTTCCTTTTCGAACACTGATCAGATCATCCAAGCACTATCCTTTCGGATTATTCGATACGTAAGAGAATTATTTGGAAGGATAAACTGCCACCGTATACATCAGTTAGCACTGCAAGTCAATGCGTATGCGAAATCGCATTCAAATGCCAAAGCGATTCCAAGAGGAAGTAAAATGCGTGGCGCAAGCAAAACTGGGTATAATCAGAGCCGAGCGTTTTATGCTTTGTGCTTTGAGCTCTAATGCTACATAATTGGCACTCAGCAGCACTCGTGTCCAACTTCGCACCTCCTTCTGGTCAAGAAGTGCCCTGGGGGCGTGGCTTCAATCCTCATTACAATGTCCCGTGTTTCGTTGCTCGCCACCCTTCTCTTAATAATATCTATCTCCTCAGCATACCTTTCCGACTCATGGATGCTCAGCTCGGAAAGGCCAACGAGCCCACGCTGTGTGCCAATACCGCACAATCTCACCATTTGTTACGGCATGCAGGTGACATTTCATTTGTGCACGTTCTTTGTCTCTCGATCACACGTTTCCGATTAATTAATGGGGGATTAGTGTGGATAGCTGTCATAGATCCACACTAATGGATAGGTGTAAGCATGAGTGCTGGATGAACCCGAATAGATTTGTCATCTTGAGCTAAAATAGCCTGAGAATTCTAATTCGCCCCAAATGCTACCATTGAGCTTTTGAAGGCTCTGAGGCTCGGATACAATTACAAAGCCTCAACGAGAACCTCATATTGACTTTCCCATGCTGGCTAATAACCACAACCTCTGATTTTGTAGCACGCCGGGATTGTTGCCTTTCATTTCCCACAACCATGAATGACTTGAGTCTATAAGATTTGTAAGGAACGGCGAGAGGTTCCAGAAGGGGCTAAAATTATGCCCACCTGCTCGACACTTATTTCCCATTCAAGCGCACTTCCGTTACTCATAAGAGGAGCGCTCATGGGTTCAAAGCCAAGTCCACTCTCTGCGTAGCGTACCAGAAACGGGAAGTAGAGGTACTTTTTGGAAAATAGGTTATCCGTGATATTTTAGTACAGTGCAAATGCCGGAGTTCCAAACTTATTGGAACATGACACCATCAATGAAGCGATTCATCAGTCAAGTGATTGGAAATCCTTACTTCAGTTGAACTGCCATCCAGACACGCAGGTTCAATCCCTCACACTACCCTTTTATACCGTATTCTCCAAACTTTCGTTCAACATAACTTTTCCAGACTTTTTCGCGTGTTCACTTTTTTGCCCCAATTTGAGCTGCAACTGATGGACAAAGGATTCTGCTCATGTTCGACACATCTCTGGTAATAGCGGTTCAAACAGGTGAGAGGACATCCTGAAGACGTGGGAGTTACATGAATGAATCGAGCCGTTTTCAGGGTTGTGAGGGACGTATGTCTGTCTACGGTTTCCCATGGCCAGAAATGTTCGTATCGTGTGAAAAATATCCAGAAGATAACGATATGTGTATCAAGGCGATGAACGTCGAGAAACAAGGCAAGTTGGCACGCCCAATGCACGGTCAGTGGTTTGCTCCAATTGTGATCCCATTATGTCTTTTTTCAAACACTAACACTGATTGTTATCTGAAGTGCTGAGATAAGTTACGTATGCACTAGCATGGATGAGTTTCAAGCCATGGTGTGACATGATGACTTAAGTTTTCACTGGAAGACCCGTTTGTGAGAGCTCTGCCAGGGTGGTCCTCTGATAATCCCGCGCTACGAGAGCATAGCGTGGCGTCTGGCCACTGTGTTTATACAAGTCACCAGTTTTTGAACTCACGAATAAATAATCTCAGCACGAGATCTGTTCTGCATCGATTCGTTAGCGCGGGCCTCTACCCGACAGATCCGAAACGCGAAGGATGGTCCGATTTTTGTCCCAAAGTAACCTATTCATGACGAGCTTAGAGAAGCGGTTGTAACTGGATCTCTCGTGACGAAGATGGGGATTATGGCGGCGGTCTAAGCGAGCTACGTACATCACAGGATGCGCATGAGCTGAAAAAAGGTGGTGATTGATAACTCGTCAAGTTCACTACGAAGACTGCCTGAGGCAACAAAATAGCGTTTGGCGGCACGGCTTTGAAGTGGTAAGATGGCGGCAGCCTTTCATCCTGCTCTTCATCCGCACACACAATCACAGTTGGGCAGGCAGCCGGAGAGCTGTCTCCAGTTACAAATCGGCAACCGCGCCACATCTCGACGCTGTCTTCGATTTGAGCGATGAGGTGTGGTAGCTCAGTACTTGCATACACGTCTCAGTGTTGGTGATGTTTATCTGAATCAGGGGACTTCACTGGTTCCCAGCAGATATCCCGCTCACTGGCCTCGGAACGTTAGTTTGCAGCCTTCTGGGCTCTATCGTCAACATTTCTATGTTTACCAGCCGATCCTGCTTTGTGAGCGGTAGATTCAACTGCAGGCAGGTCAGAACTCGGATTTTCTGACCAATGATGGTGGTTTTGAGCCAGCCAACTTCCTAGGTGGGACCTGTACTGAAACTTTGACCAAGTCGTCACTCTCAGGTGCTTGAATGGGCTTGAATCGTTAGCAGCTTACTTCAGGACCGTCTAGCGCCTCCTATTCCTTGCGTTTCGGAGGGAACGTCGCAAAACAACTGGCATATCCTGAGTAGGGGAAAGCACCCACCCAGGTAACACCCCACAAAAGTGGAACTGCCGTCTTGACGGTTGCTATTAGTAAGACCTACTATGCTGTCATTATAAAATGACTGATTGTGAGACGTGACAATTATTGCCGTAACCAGCGGTTCTCACTGTCTGGTATATCATTAACCAGAAGTGTGATGAAAATGGCGAAAGATTACTTGTAATGGATTAGCGCTCCTTTCGCTTGTTTTTGAACTATCGACGATGGTAACTGGGAATTTCTTGACAGAAAAACAAACTTTCGTGGGATTCCAAAAACTGGTGATTACTCAAAATGGCTTCTATATCCAGACATCAGAGAACTCTGAGTTGAGCTAGCATGAGTGCAAACTTTGCCGGAATGAGACAACTTTCTTAAGCCTGATGAACGTTTCTGGAAACCTCCTGTTGTGATTTGGGTTAGCTGTGAAAAATCAGATAGAAAAATGGGATAGAAGTCGAAGGACTCCTTAGCTGGTACATTGTGTGCTGATCTTGGGCTTGGGCTAGAGGTTT